TGTTTATTAAGATTTTTATTATATTCCTTGTTTTCTTTGTAGAGTTTCTCAAGTTTCCTAAAGATTTTACTGAAGATTACTCATAAACATTTCATAATTTAGTTAATTTTGACAAGGGAATTCAGTTTGCATTAAGCTTTAAAAATTTTTAATAGTTCACACAAGATGCTGACTTCTAAAAATGTTTACTTATAACTTCCTATCTGCCTAAATATTACACGAATTTTACTGATTACTTTTTTGGTCTTCGTATACAATTATATAAACTGTAATTAGTTCTCTCTTCTCCCCCTGCCCCAGTACTGGGGATTGAACTCCAGACTTTGTGCTTGTGAAGTAGGCTCGGTGCCACTGAGCTAAATCCCCCACCCAGTTCTAATTTTTTATCTTTTGAACTTTTGTACCTAATTTCTTCCCTTTTTCCTTTCTTCTTTCTCCTCTCCTTCTCCCTTCCTTTTTCCTCTTTCCTCTTTTTTCTCCTATACCTCTTGCTTTTCCTCCTTTCTTGTCTCCCTTTCCTCCTCCTCTTTCCCCTAGTCCTTCTTCTCTTCTTCCTCCTTTTCCAATTAAAACAAAGATTCGGTATCTTGAAGGAAACCTGAAAAGAATGAGCATTAAAATTTGAGTTAGAATTTTTGTTTTACTTGGAAATCTTGCCTGGATCAAATATTTCTCTATTTTTAAAAGATTAGTTTATTAGTACCTTTGTGTAGTGCATAATGTTTACCTTCCTTGTGGGAAGTTGGCACATTTACATAACACATCTTAATTACTTTGTTCATTCCTTTTCCCTTCCCTTCCTCTCCTCTCTACCCAGCTTTTGGTGCCCCCTTTTTTGTAAATGTTTGCAGTACATGTATGTAGTTGGCCTATGTCAATAGCTTCCAATTATGTCTAGTGAATAAGAACTGCTCAAATTAAAAAGGAAATGAGATTGGATGATGAAAGAATTCAAATAATATATTTTAGATAAATGCCATGGAAACAACACACCACACTGAGTACCGTATTTGGGGAATGTAGAAAGACTCATGAAGGATTATTACTTTTGTCATGATGACACAGATTCCTTCAAAAAAAAGAAAGGGAAGATGGAGACACACTTATGGTTCCCAAATCCACAGAACTCTATCCACAGATACGATCTTACAAAGTAACCTTATTACTCTACTCAGGATCTCCATTAGTTTCCTGTTCTCTTCAGAGTTACAGCTAAGGGCTTTGTGCCCCTCCAAGGAATGGATAAATTGTTTCAACTGTGTTCTGTTGAATCATTTCCTGTGGATGATTTCACTCATGTTTTCACTAGTGATAAAATCATCCTGGCACATTTGTCTTTTCCTTGTTCCAGTACCACAGCACTTGCCAGTCCCTCTGATTGGACTGTTCCCCTCACAAACAAATGTAAACTGGATTCCTTATCCCTTGTGATTCTTGCTTCTGAACTCACCCTTTCAGCAAAGACAGCCTACCTGAACTTTTCTTCTCTCCTTACTATTTCATAACCTCAGTTCTTGATTTACTTCTTTTGTTTACTTCTTTTCACCTCCTTCACGTATCTTATTTATTCTTGGTCTCTATTATTATAAGCGATATAAGGACAGCAGTTTTAGTACCCTTGGTTTACTATGAAAACCTTAATTTTAAAACAGAGCTTGTCCCATACTATAGACTCTATAAACGTAGTGAGACTTGTTAACAAAATTGGCAATTACATAATCGATTACAGAATACAATTTGCCATATCCAGACTAATATTAGAATACCCAATGTAGAACTCCCAAGGAGTTAGACCTTCTATTATGGATAAAGAATTGACAACTTTTAAACTAAGTTCTCTCTTGGTGGCTTTTTGTTTTATAACAATAGATGAAGGAAGTGACAAAAAACATTAAAAATCATGGAGCTCAGGGTATGAACTCTGATGCTAATAATCCTATACAATGCCATTATTCTTTTGCAGAACAATTTCCAGCCCATGCTGTAATACTTATTGATGTTATGTTTACAGCAATATTCCTAGAGCTGACTTCTCAGTAACATGTCTGCCAGTGTCAATTCTGTTGGGATGTTAAATATTTTGAATGCCAGGCTACTTGGAGATTAAGAAACACCTTCATTATTGGAATTCTTTCAAGAAAAATAACTATTGCAGCAGGTCCAAAATGTTCAGCCCCTCATTTCTTTTCTCCCTGTTGAGTACTTCTTATTTTGATTTGCTTTTTTTTTAACGCATAGTTTCTTAGAAATTCAGTAATGTTAGAGTACAATGCACTGTAAACTCTCAAGATTTCCTGGATGATTTCCCTTTTGCTCTTTCATTTGCCTAGATGTTCATTCCTATATCATAGATTGTAGGTATCTGCTTGATGTTTGCATCTAAGAGATTACCTTTAGTAAGAGACTATCTTTGTCCATGCAATGCATTACGGATTATATCTAGATCTCTCCCCAAAGCCTCATGTGCTCATAGATGGGGCTTTTGGCTTTTGGGAATGACTGCATCATGAGAGTGTGATACTGGCTCATGGGTGTTTGATGCTAAATTATGTTACTGATTAGTTTAGCATAACTGAGTTGGATGATGGACAAACCGAGGTGGGAAGACCTACCTGGGTATGTGTGGTACCAACCATTAGGCATGTGTCCTAGAAGGAATAAAAGGAGAAAAGAAAGTAGAGAGAGAGAGAGAGAGAGAGAGAGAGAGAGAGAGAGAAGAAGGAATAGTACTTCTTCCTGTCCTCCATGCCATGGACTGTTTCTCATCTACCATGCTCCTCTGTCATGCTGTTTTGCCTTAGAATCAGCTGACTATGGACTGAAATCTCTACAAAGCGTGAATTAAAATAAACTTTTCCTCCTTTAACATGTGGGTGTTGAACATTTTGTCCCAGAAACAAAAAGTGATTAAGATACAATCTAAGTAGCTCATTGCAATATTCTCTCACATGGATCTTTTTTCCCTCCTTCATGTATGTCATTACCTGAAATTATTCCTTTTGCATTTATTTATATGTATATACATTTAGTTATTCGCCTCTTCAGTAGAGTAGATAATAGTTGATGGCAGGATCTTGTCTACATTTTGAAATATACTTCTTGTATATAGAATTATGCCTGACTACCTAATACATGGAATAAATGGTTTGTTAATAAAATGAACTAATGCTGCCTGATGAGAGTAGCTTGATATTTAAACCACTGGATTTGATATTAGAGCTAAATAATAGGGTAGGTGTTACAGATAATGAAAAAAGAATATGTGAAAAATAACAGCCAAAGATCTAAAAGGGCACTGAGTAGCCTTGTGTGTTGTTTCATCAGATGGCATTTGGAAGCTCTGCTCTTCCTAGTTCTATTTTCAACAGGCTGGTGCTACTTCTATTGAAAGTGAAGCATTTATAAACCAAGGCAAAATAGTTCATTTTTACTTTTTCTCTCATGGGAAGCACTCAAAGATACAATTCTAAAGGATAAACGTCTGGAGGAGGATAGGTGGGAGAATTATATGATTCAAACCAGAAACTTATATAAGGATAGAATGTGGCCCTTAACATCAAAGTTGTGGTTGAATTTTGGAAAATTGAAGGATAATGCTTGGCTGAACAGGTACAGCCTCAATGCCATTCACTATATGATTTGATTTAAATAAAAAATTCACTTTAAATTCTTATTTACAATAACACTAGTGTAGAATATTACCTGCAGGTTATATGTTTAGAGGTATATAAAAAAGTCACTACTTCTCTGACAAAAATGAACTCTTCTTCATTCAGTTATTCAGTAAACAGTTTTCAAGCATAAAATATGTTTGCTAGATTTCATAATAATTTCTGGGGAATCCACATAAATATCAAATCAATCTCTGCCCTCAGGTATTCATCACTCACTAGCTACAAATTGCTCTGCTTTGTGCTTGGGGAGTAGTGAAGTATTATCAAAGACTAGTGTGAAAAATTAAATAGTTATAAACTACATGACTAAATATATGATTGGCACTCAGTAGACATACAAGAAAAGATCATTACAAACTTCCAAATTGGAGGTGTGTGTGGTGGATTTGCAGATTAGATTAAAATATAATTGTGGAGAGGAATGATATTAGACAAATAACCCAAAGGTTAGATGTCCAGTGTTATAGTGTTATTTGGGGATCTATAAGTGTCCCAGACACTCAAAGGAAGATCAGAAAGTCTGTTCCTTGGGCAAGGGATTTAGCTTAGTTGTTCCACCATCTGCCATGCAAACTCAAGGACCTAAGCTCAATCCCCAGTACCAAAAAAAGAAAGTCTGTCCCAATCTATAAATTTGAAATAGGCCTTCAGAGATTATTAGGAATGAAATAATCAGGAAACAGATGGGAGCTATATCATTGTAGATGATGATCAAAACTTTGTAGTGACTGGATTAAATAATCTTTAAGGTCTCTTGTGAACTGGAAATTCATAAATTTTCTTTTGAGTAATAAAATAAAATACTGCTATATAAAGTAGAATAGACCAAGAATATTCCAGAGGTTAGTTCAATGAATATGCTCTCCAAAGCTACAGCATCAATACCACCTGGAATCTTGGTACAAATATAAACTCCCCGACCCCATCCTTTGTGCATGGGCCCAGGAATTGATGTCTTATTGAGGCTTCCTGGATCACCATCTTCAGTTATTATGCTTTATATTTAGATGTTCTGCCCAATAACATATTTGCTCATAGATAGGGCTTTAGGAGGTGATTGGATCATAGAGGTCTATTAGTCAACTGACGAATTCAGAGCTAGATTTGATGTTGGAAACTAAGGAGGTGGGTTGCTGGGGATGTGGCCTGGAAGGGCATATCTCCCTCCCTGGTTTCTCCTTTCCTCTTTCTCTCCCTCCTGCCTTCCATGCCACTAGTAGCTTTCTCTCTGTTATGCCCCTCTACCATGCCACCCTGACAGGAAGCCAGCCAACTGAATGAAGTGTCTGCAAAAAGTGAGCCAAAATAGATCTTTTCTCCTTTAAGTTGCAGGTATGAAGTATTGTGTCCCAGTGTTGAGGAACAGGACTGAGACATCAGCTAAATAATTTACATTCAGAAGGACAAGTGTTGTAAGTACTCACTAATGGGTAGAATGAGAAACAGAGGCCACAAAAGTAGAAGGGAGGCTGTTCCCAGGCCAGAAGAAGTAAATAAATGAGGATAGTAAAAAGATGAGTGTGATCAAAATAGATTATACACATTGAAATCCAATATTTTCTAAAATTAGTAGTTGCTAATAAAAACGTATTTTAAAAAATAAATCAGATAAATCCTCCTGGTGATCTTAAGTCATGCTGAAGTTTGAGAACCCTTGTTCTAGGACAGGAGGATATAATGGGTTAAGAAAACAACAAAAAGAAAATGAAAAACTAAAATTCAGTGGTGATTAAGAGAATTTGGCTCATTCAGGATTTAAATTGCAGTTGAGTGTCTTTGCAGGTTCTGGACTACCAGGTCCCAAGATGACCAGCTCACCCGAGTCGCTAACCCTGGCTCTTCCTGGAGCCATCCATCTGTACTGTGCTTCTCCTCAATGTCTTAAGCCTCCCACTGGCTGCGATTCTGCCTCTCCATTTATGGCAAATGGGCCCATTCTTTTATTACCTCATTAAAATATTGAAAAACCTCCTTTTTCTTTGAAGACTGCTTTTTTTTTTAGTACCACTAACGTCTTTGTAGTTTATTCTCAGTTTTAATTTTATTTGTAGTTTAGGCTTACTTACTGAAAAAGCACAAATAGCCCAAATGTATAGCATGAACAATCTTGTATAAACCAAGCACAACCACGAAAATAGCACCCATTTCAAGAACAAAACATCAGCAGCACCTAGAAGCACTCCCATGGTGTCACAGTTACCACCCATCCTTGAGTAAATGAAATAACTATCTTTATTTCTATCAGCATGTATTAGTTTTGACGGCTCTTATCTATAATACGCTATTTGTTCTCACTTCATCCAATTATATTATTTGGAAGCAGAATCTGTTTTATTGATCCCTTCATTTGGTTGCTGAAATATCATTAATAGCAACAGTGGTGTTGAAATATCACTACCAATAGCACTGTGACTTGTGAGCTTATGAAAGGTTTGTCATTCAAGATCACAAAGTGGAAAAGAAATGCACAGTTTTATTAACAACATCCAAACAAGATAACAAAAGAAAAACAAAGGTGCTATGCAAACTGAGAAGCAACAGGCTTCTAGGTATCTTGCCCTTAAATTCCTTGCTCTTTGACACCTATCTTACTCACTGGTCTTCCTTTGAAGCAACTGGCTCAAGAAAAATCTGTCATCTTACCACCTGTCTTTTTTCTATTGTGGCCAGAAAACAATGCTCCGAAGTGTGGCTCCTGAAATCCTGAGTACTTTGAACTAGAGTCCATAAGAAAGGGCTCAGAAGCAAAGGCCCATGGTACTCACTTGTGTTTCTTTTTCCTGTCCTCCATTTTCCCCATAGAAACTAGCCTTTCTTATACCAAAATGGGTGATAGAACCAGCCATAAAATCTGTAAATATTACTCCAGCAGCTCCCATTCGCATCCATGGAGGAGCTCACAATACAGAAGTTCTATGACACACCTTGTCTGGCAGCATATCATAAGATCCTCATTCTAGAAGTCCTGTTCTGTAGCCAGAAGGGACAAAAGTGACACAGAGAGGCCAAGTAGAATCCCAGCAGACAGGCTTTGTTGAGTTTCCCCTTTTACTTAATTAACAACAATTTGACCCTTTTTATCCAACCACATTTCTATCGACTGCATATTACATCAAAGCTAAGCACTAAAATGGAGTTTTTTCTCCAGGTCTTTGGAGCTTCCTTTCTGAAGGTGCCCATGTCATGTGAACCTTTAAATAAAGCTGTTGTGCTTTCTCCTTTATTAACCTGACTTTGGTTAAGAACGCTGCTGATGACTCCTGAGTAGTGAAGAAAAGTTTTGGACTTTCCTGCCTCTGTACGTTATCACTCTCACTCCCAGCATCACGTCTAAGGCATGTTTTACCCTCCTCTTTCAGCACATTCACCTTTTTGAGGTGGAGTAGGCATCAATTCCCCATTGCCCTGAAGCACTGGCATGTGTATTATTTGACACTCGTACATTAGGCCTTATAAGCTGCAAAAAAGCAGGGATTATTGTCTCGATTACCGTTGTCCATTGCACACCCAAAACAGATTCTGATCCATAATACATTCTCAAAAAGCGCTCATTTAAAATAAGGGATTTTATATAGGAACAATAACGTTTTAATTGTATAGATATTTAAAGCAGGGGATTCTTGAGTTTAAAATTTAGTTTGGGTCAGACAGGGGCTAAAGTTTTGAGCAGTCAAATCATTAATTGTTCTGTGTTTCAGTGTTCTACATTATAGAAGCTATGGTAATTTATTAATTATAAAGCTCAAAGGTAAACGAGAAAAATATGTGGAACGTGTGGATTATAACAAATAGGAAGTCTGGAGGGAGACTCCACGTAGTGCCACTCAGCACAAGGAATCTATTATAAAGAAAATACACAGCCAACACTACTTCAGGCTGTAGTATTTCTAGAAAACTGAAACAGTAGATTTTTTTCATTAAAACCCACAAGAAAAGTTCACAGTGAATTCAATTAAGAAATTCTAAGTACCATTAGAAATGATATGGGGTTTCACATTTTAAAAAATTCTTTAGGCTGGGTTAATACTAGCAATATTCTACCTGTATTAGTTAGTTCTCCCAATACGGAAACATACCTGACACCTACAATTTCAAGGAGGAGAGGTTTAATTTGGCTCATGGCTTCAGGAAATTCAGTCCATGGTTGGCTGGCTCCAAAGCACATATGTCAAGGAGAGAGAGGGGAGAAAATGGTCTGGGGGAACAAAGATGCTTTGTTAATGGTGGAACAGGAAACAGATTAGGAAAACAGTGACTGAGAAGAAGTGGGTGAGGAATCAGATATACAACGCAAGAGCACACTTCCATGACCTACCCTCACACGCCGACAAAACAAGTGTGCTTTACTGATCCCTTGGGTGACTCTGAAGCCAATCAATTTGACAACTAACTTAACTGTCACATCTCACCCCTTGTCAACTTGAAACCCAAACACATCTCCTTAGGCCATACTTAATCTAAAATGAAAACTTGATAACAATTTTGTCTAACTTGATACAATTATTTCATGCACAACCGAAAACCAATAAGCCCTTTCCCAATCTCCACAGGCCCAGCAATGCCGACATGTCCAAGTCCAAGTCTCCTCTGAGATTTACAGCAAACTCTTGTCTGTGAAGTCTGTAAAAAAAGAAAATATTGCTTTAATTTCAAGACACAATGGCACAGGATAAACATAGCCATTTGAAGGAGTAGAAAAGAATAAGTCCAAAGTAAGGTCAAAACCCAGGAGGGCAAGCATTAGGCCCTGTGGCTGTGTTTCTGGCATCTAAGCACATGGTGGTGGGGTGTGAACTCCAGAGTGCTCTTGCTTCAAGTTTACCATTAAGCTAAATCATTTCACTGCTGTTGGTGATTCTGTCTTTCTTAACCAAAACTGATTTTGATATTATGATTCATTAAATTCCTCAAGATTTCTTAAACATAAGAAAAGACATTTAATGTGAAACATGTTCTTTTTCCAAAAAGGTAGGAATAATAATATTTTTTGAAAATTAGTCCCTTTTCATCTGTATCTAGGTCTGCATATAGCTTTTTGATATCAAAATAATTCTCTATAACTTGATAATAAAATTGTCACTACTCAAAATGAATTCACCATTGCATTTCCTAAAATTTCATAATTTAATTTCTGTTCCACACATGTATATGTTTTATGAGCTAATATTTCCAATATATTTAAATGTAATTAGTTATGCAGGTTGGAAAAAAAGCTGTCTAGTAGATACATTGAGAATTGAAATGTGGATCAACAACATTAATAGAGGGGTGATTAAGCAAATTTCACTTACTCCCTTGATGAAATCCTGAAGTCCTTAAAAATGACAGTAAGCAAAACTCTTACACAAATTATAAGATAAAAATATCTGATAGCAAATGAAAATCCAAAATGCTAAAAGATATTTGAAGTATGAAGGCAGTTATTTTCTTAAAATGACTTAGCATAGAAATACACGCACACACACACAGGTGCATGCAGAGATGAAAATACTAGTGGCAGAGGTGGGTGTTGCTCGTGTTAAAGTGCATGCTTAGCAGGAGCGTGGCCCTGGGTTTGACCTTCAGCACTGAAAAAATACACAGGCTAAAAAAAATGCTAAGAATGGAATGACCTTCTGTGTTATAATTCTATCAATTAAAATGTGTTTGTATGTGTGTGTGTGTGTGTGTGTGTGTGTATGTGTGTATTACATCCTATGCCAAATTTATTTTTTTGTGTGTGTGTGTGTGTGTGTGTGTATGTGTGTGTTACATCCTATGCCAAATTTATTGCATAATACAAAACACATATTAATTAACAGAGCAAAACGAGGAGCAACCATAACATCAAACTGACTCTTACCCTGAAATATTCATGATTTTATCCTGAGTTTGATGAGTTTGATTCTCACTGTTTTCACTCTGCTCATAGGCATGATTTCCCTTCAAATTCAGATGAAGGAAGATTTGACAACAATTTCTTTAGCATCTTCTCTTAGACAAAATAGCCAGATGCTTCCTCAGTGGGGAAAACAAGCTGCCGTAGTCATCACAGAGATGTGAAAAACAAAACACCTGCAGGGGCATGTAAGAATTAATCCATTCCTGGACAGGTTCCTGAGGCAGGACCAAGGCTTTGCAGGGATGTCTCTGGTCAGGGCTCCTGTGCAGAGTGCCTTTGACACATTGACAAAACAGAGGTTTAGGAGGAAATGTCAGGGTCAGTCCAGGGAATTCATTGTTGGCACAACTTTGTTGTACTTCTCCGGGGAGAACAAAAGTGTACTACTCAGAAATCCTACTTAGAGTTGAGAGCATATTAAAACATTAAAATGCCTTGTTTGATCAGTTTTTAAGCTTTCACTCTCATACAATGAAGGAAAAGGCCATCTATTCCTGGAAGACTGTTACTATTTTTTGTTTTTTGATACTTTTTGAATAAGATAGTTTGAGGGATGGAAGGAGAGACAGGTTCATGGATCGGGGGCTATGGAGATGAGTTGTGGGAATAGGAGAGAGGGAAGCAGAGAGACAGCCAGACACAGAGAGTAAAAGAGAAGAAAATGCTTTACAATTTTAATGGCTAAGAAGGTAGTAGGAATAGTAGAGTTGTTAATGATACCCCTTCCCCAGTGGGGGACCATTGTGGAAAATATTCCACACAGAAGAAATGCCTTGCAAGGTCATGCAACAGGAAGGAATCTGACAGTTATTAGTCAGAGAAAAGACCATGAGGCTCTGGTGGGTGCCCACAGGGTCCTGTAGAAGATAGTTCTGTAGAAGCAGACAGGAACCAAGTCATGTACGCCCTTTTAATTCAGTTTGAAAGGTATTTTCTTTAACACCTAGGAAGCCATTGAAAGTCTTTACACTGGGGAGAGAGGTGATCTGATTACCATTTTTAATAGATCTCTCTGGCTTATGGTGACATACTTTTTGATGTTTTTTCCATTTACAGTCTTGCCGTTGAACATCCAGGCTGTAAT